TGAGCTTCTAATCAACTACATCCTTCCTAAATCCAGTGTTGGTATCAGTGTTGTAGAACACTTACTGTGGCAGGCCAGAGAGATGAGCAGCAGCAGGGCGAGAGCAGTCTTCATGGCAGCAGGCTGATGGGTCACTCTCTTCAAGAGTCCAGAGAAAGAGTGGATGAGCAGAGAAGAGGCTCTGATGGAGGGGACACCGGAGGTTGAGGTGGTGGAGGAGGAGGGAGATTAGACATGGGAAGGTGTCTGAGGGCATTAAGGTCTTATCTCTGTAATCTCCATCTATGCTGCACAGCCAGCACCCTGTGGTAATGAACTTAACCAAGCGAGTTTTAACAGGAAGACAGTTACAGTTCAGTGTTATAAAGCTATCAGTGTTGAGATTAATGGTATTTTGAGGTCAGTTGTTGAGAGTGTTGGTGTTACAACTGTTTCTGTAACTACTGACAGTGTGGATGCTGAACCAAGCTGAAGCTGCCGAAGAAGCTAAAGGTCATTATTCACTCACGTCATCACCTCAGCTAGGGTGTGTGTGTGTTCGCTGGAAAGTCTGATGTAAGATGTAAGCAACGTGCATCATTACCAGCTGAGGCCATGACACACATACTGACAAACATAACACACTGACACACACAATGTGAGTTGTCATACTTTTCCGCTGTGAGTCTGTGTGAAAGTAATCGCAAACAACAAAAATAAATCAAAGAAAGAGCTACATTAGAGCAAATTATATTTACGTTTATTCAGGCAAATGTACACTCAAGTCCTCAATGTGTCAACACAAGTGTGAGATCGCCAATTCTAATTCACAAATACAAACATTAATTATTATTAAAGAAATTACATCAGAATGGCACGAATATAAACTGTGGCACGCAAATGGGTTTGTGTCAGAACTGGCTTTACGAGGTGGTAAAGAGACAGAGTATCAGACATCAAGACTTAATGAGTATTGAAAACTGTACAGAACCAAAAGTCCTGATCTTATTTCAGTTTCTTTGACGAAATATGGACTCCATATTCACAATACTGTATTATATTGAGCCAAATAGTATTTTATGTTGAGCCTTCAATAAACATTGATGTTGCAGAGAAATTGTTTATACGTTTTTATTATTCAGAACCAATACTTAATTAATTACATATTGGTACCGGTTCTGAACTATTTTCACTGATACTCACTGATACTTAGTTACAGCCTCCTGAACCATTACTAAAACACTGCCGGACCCGACTAGTTTTATGGTGTGTGAAGAAAACAATGAGAAATATGGAGCTGTGAAAATAAACATGCAAAAAAACAGATTCATCTGTTGAATAACTAGTGCAGAGCTGTAAATACTAACATCTTCGTTACACGTAAGCAACAGACAGAACCACTTACAAAACTGTCAAACTTAGTTTCCAAAAAGGTCAATGTGATTTACTGGTAACTTAATCTGTGACACAGTGATGGTTTTAAAAAAAAAAAACAACAACTCATTGTTGACATGCTGCAGCACTTGCTAATCTCATAATAGTTTTAAACATCTAAAACCAAAATATGTTGGAACTTGTTCCAGTTGTTCAGGTATCTTAACACAAGATAGTGAACGTACAGCAGTGGAGTAGATTTTGCTCTCTTTACACTTTAGGATAAACTTCTCTCTTTACTGACTTTCTGGATCAGACAAAACAAAGCCACAACGTTTATATAATCACAGGAAAGTCTAAGATTGTCAGGCTATTATATTACTCTGTGACTGACTCTCTGTGTTGTAGTGTTACCCAGGTAAAGCTAATGTTGTGAATTACTTACTGACTTGTCACTCCTGAATGAACCAAGGCCTCTGAGGACTACTGTATTTCTTCAAACGATCCTAAATCCTTTCCTTCAGTTCTTGTGCAGCTTGACTTTAACCCTGACCTAATTCGGCCCCACACAATACCCCTGAGCTTTGCTCTTTCAGAGTAAAATCCCTATTTACTTTATAGAAAAATACATTTTATGTATTGTTGCTTTAATATAAAACGATCCTTGTCGAAGCCCATTGAAATATACTATATGCCTTAATGTAACTAAAACAAACCCCAGCCTGCATGATGTCATCCTGTTGGGGGTTGCTGGGAATTTAGCTGTTAAGCTGCTGGGAATTTAAGTTGAGTCACAAGCAGGTTGTTGTTGTTCACTGGCATGATGGACGAAAGCACAAGGGGCCCATATGGCCATATAATGGGCAGAAATGCAAACAAAACAATGTGACCACATACATTATACAGATTCCCAACTCAAACAATAGTTAGCATGTACAGAACCGTCTTGATTCTGTTCACAAGTAGTGCAATTGTAGTATACACAAAGTTACTTTAGACATCTGTACATAAGCAGTCTCTTTGTTGCAGGGCTGGCAGAGGGCATGAGAGCTGCTTCTTGGCTGGGGGCATGCACAGGGCATCACAGGACCGGAGGGACGGTAGTGGCTGATTCACAGGGAGTGTCTCTCAGTCTATTTTTCCCATTTTGGCAATCAGCTCATCGCAGATCTTGGTGAGTTCCTCGATCTCTTGATTCTATGACAACACAACAAAAGGATAAATAAGCAAATTTAATACATCGCTATATACTGAATTAGTGCCGGGAGATAGAAGAGAAGAGGAGGATGCCTGTTACCTTCTGCTGCAGAGCTTGTTCCAGAGACTCATTCTTCATCTGCTCCTTCCTCAAACTGGCAGTCATCGCCATGTTCTCTGAGCTCGCCTTTGTACGCACTTGAGCGATCTCCTCATTGGCTCTGGGAGATACATGGAATGAGAGAAATCGTTTTATATTTCTTATATCAAACCTGTAATAGAACTTAATTTGTTATAACCGACTTGACGGGACAACTGGATTTTCCTTCAGTCTCTACGTACTTGTCTAGTTTCTCCTCAGCATGGAGTTTAAGTGTCTGGTATCTCTGCTCCTCCTGTTTGACTCTGGCCAGATACTCCTGAGCACACTTCTTCAGCACCTCTTCATTCTGTACGAGGAAACAAAGAACAACCACAGTGTTATATATCTATCACCTAACACAGGGAGAAAGCAGTTACCATTGTACATTCTGTGCCCTTATACTTTTCTTCTCAAGTAAAATTATGCACTTGAGTCTTGACCCATGCTTATTCTTTTATATAATATTTTTTAAACACTGTAGGCTCTTTCTGAATTCCTGAAGTTGCACACATTTACTCCAGGAAGCTGCATAGTTTAACCACCACAGCCTTTTGTCCGCCCATAAGCAGCTGCTCTAAATCTGCTTAGAGTCAACTTGGGGTCAAGATCTGACTTTAATTGTGGGCTTTTTCTGCTGCAGTTGTTTAATAAGAGCACCATTTTTCACTGAGTTGAGGGACAGATATTTCTAGTGACCTTCTATGTAAACTCCTGCTTGTCTCACCTCTAGCCGACTACTGCCCCTAATTACAGAATACCCTCCAACCATATTCTGATCTTAATCCTCTTACACCCTTCCAATATGTGGTATAACTAACAGCTGATCACCTCAGCACTTGAACAGACGCCTTCTTTAATCCATGAATTTGTCTTATGACCCCTTACTTTCTTAAAGCCCTCCAGGGTACTCTTCATATTCTCATAACGCCGAAAAACGTCTGAGAGAGAGCGCTCCACAGAGTTCAGATCTGCCAGGGCGGCTTCCTTCTCCATCGTCACAGCATGCAAAGCCTTCTGGGAACTCTGGTTGTTGCGCTGCTCGTCCTCTGAAAAGAGTGAAGAAGAAGAAGACATTATTGTGGAGTGCTGAACAACTTCTTTCTCACTTGGCTAATAGTGATTGCATAACACATTGCATTTACCACAAAAATACATGAAGTGAAATGTGTGTTTTCCAACCGTAAAAATAATTACAACAAGCAGTAGGTAAGGGTTACATCTGTTCTGTGCCCCTGAACACACAGTTCAAATGTTCTAGTAGATTTTATCTTTGAACATTTCTACTCACCGATCATCTGAGCGATTGTCTTTTCATATTCTGCAACAATCTTCCTGTAATAAGACAGAACATATGATATTCCTTAACTATGACAGACTGGCGGGTCTTAAAGATAACATTTACGTCGTTGTACTTCCAATACAGTTTAA